CTCTATTGACAGTAGGTCATGCCAATCAATAAGTGTCAGTTTGGATGTTAACATTAAAGTAAAACGAATATCAAAAGTTTATTTATATATATATATATATATATATATATATATATATATATATATATATATATATATATATATATCAATAAGTGTCAGTTTGGATGTTAACATTAAAGTAAAACGAATATCAAAAGTTTATTTATATATATATATATACATATATATGAATACACACACACACACATATATATATATATATATATAGATATATATATATATATCTATATATATATATATAGATATATATATATATAGATATATATATATATAATATATATATATATATCTATATATATATATATAGATATATATATATATATGTGTGTTGTGTCTCACTCAAAAATTCACTTTGGCCGGTGAAATAGACTGTTCATGGTTATTCTGTTCCATTCCATGATGATTTTCTGTATAATTATTTGTTGCTCGTTATGCCGTGACTAAATTTGATAGAATCTATTCTATTAAAAGCAGCATATTCAAGGTACTCTATTGACAATAGGTCATGCCAATCAATAAGTGTCAGTTTGGATGTTAACATTAAAGTAAAACGAATATCAAAAGTTTATATATATATATATATATATATATATTTGAATATATATAAATGGATGCTTTCCGCTTGTTGGCTTTATTGGAAATAATTGCATAAAACAAAAACCACAACACCCGCCGAGACAGAGCTATTGACCTGTGCTTCTCGCCTCTGTCCTTGCAACTCCCGTATAACTGCCGTTCTGCCTTCCCTCTTAGACGCGCTCATGCGCTAAACCAAGTGGTGACGTCACACTAGTTTATCGACAACGTCTGTTTGACTAATGAACGATCTCTGCCTCGACACGCCATAACTGAGCATTATGTGTACAGAAATTTTTAACCTTTCACAAAAAATAGAAAGAAAGATTAATACTGCTCTAAATACCAGTAACAATAACCTGTCAGTAATTATGTAAAGGTATATACATGTGCCTTGTATTCATTTCCAGATATTCATCGACGTGTGAGAATAAACTGCTTGTCGACGCGATAACAGGTGAAGTCGCTCTTGCGGACGACAATGTTCTCAATTATGAATCAACTACAACGCTACAGTGTAATATAGAAGCCCGTGACCTCAATGGAGATTCAGCAGGGAGAAGCGGCACCACCAAGGTCAAAATTACGGTCCTTGATGTTGTAGACGAGCAGCCCTCCATACAGCAACCTGTAAGTACGTCAGTCACTTTGAAAAAGCATGACGTTTCACTCTCACAAGCACAGTCACACACAAGGTCTATATAAATACTTATGCAGACCTTGGTCACGCACACGCATGCATGGTCGAACCCACTCCCACGCATATTTACGCTCTTAATGTATATCCTCGGGAGCAATATTTTCATTGTCATATGGGGGGGGGGAGACGTTCTTATATGACATAAGGAAATATCTGAATAATTTAGACAACAATGTAGATAAAGTTGTCAACATATTGGTAGAAAGGATAGTGTAAAATCATAATAGCATATAATGTTTTTATTTTTTATGTGCGTTTTTTACATAAAAAGTATCACAGTTTGCTCCAGAATCCTTGAAAAAGGCTACTTCAAAGACATGTTTTTTTCCCCTTCGGTGCTTAGCTTCCTCTAGTTATAAATTCAAGCATCATGGGTCCGCTATCGAATTTTAAGCTGGTTTTCGCGTCTAACTTAGCTAATACTTTCTTGGAGATTGCCATGTCTATCATATGTTAATGTTAATGTTAATGGTTAAAAGCAAAATAAATGTGCTAGACATCTAAGGTCATGTAGCACTATAGTAAATGTTAGTAAAGGGTGGTTAAGTTAGTGATTAGTTGTCAAAGCTGGGCAAAGGAATTGGTGAGTGAATGGGTTAAGGTCGGGTGAGGTAATGTAAAGGGGTTAGATTAAGTGAGGGATGTTTATGCGTTTGAGAGGATAACAGGTTGTCGAAGCAGAATAGGTTGGGAGGTCGGTGAAGGGAGGATAGGTGAGGGGGAAGCAGAGCTACAGGCTACTTCAAAACGTGTGCATGATAATAGAATGTGTGAGACTGAAAGAGGAACATTACATAAGGAGCATAGGTGTGGATCGGATTGTGACATCAGATAGTGGTGTGTGTGGAAGGGGATGCTTGTGATATAAGGGATTCACGTGTGTATCCAGGAGGGAGTGGAAGGGATAGAGGGGATGGTGGGAGGGTTAATGTGAGTGGGGTTGGAGTTGGGGGGGATGGGCTGTGTTGGGAGGGGGTAGGAGGATAGGGTGTAGGGGGGATATCGTTAGGAGGAGGATGGATATCGGCAGTCACTTAGTGTGTGGAGGGAGCAGTTGTAGGATTTGAAGGTTGATGGGGGTCAGTTTTCATTAAGAAGTCTTGAATATTTTCAAGAGTTTCTTCAATGGAGTTGGTTGGGGAGTTATGTGGGATAAAGGATTTCTTGTGAGGGGGGGAAGAGAAGACTGGTATCTCAAGAGCAGGGGCAAAGGAAGGTAGAGGTGATTGTGTGGTAGGGGAAGAGGGGGTGGAACGTTTGTTTTGTCTGTTGCGGGTAGTGCGGGGAGGGAGAGGGGAAGGTGTTGGGGTTGTAGCGGAGATTGGAGTGTCTGTAGTAGAGATTGGAGTGTCTGGACTTTGGATGGCAAAAGAGTTTGACTGGGGAAGGTAGGAGGTAGAAGAGGGGGAGTTAGATGGAGGGGGGGTAGGTATAGGAAAGGGTGTAGGAGCTCGGGAAGTAGGGGAATTGGTAGAATGAGCAATATTACTGGAGTAGGGATTAAGAGAAAAACCTTGTCTACGTGCTTCCTGTCTGGCTTCACGTAGCGTGAGTCCAAGTTTGAATCTGAGAGTTGCTACCTCAGACTCAAATTTGTAGGTGGGGCAGCCCCTATAAAATACATTATGAGGGCCACCACTGTTGGCACATGTGCGTGATTGTGCAAAACAGTTTGATTGAGTATGGCCAGGTTGGGCACATAGTGGGCATCTGGCTGTAGAACGGCAATGTTTGGCTGGGGGTCCTAAACGCCAACAATTTTGGCACTGACGAGGAGGAGGTTGGTATGGTCGGACAGGGAGGGATTCTCCACCTATGTAAACATTAAATGGGAGGTCATGTCTACGGAAAGTAATTTTGGCGATGTTAGTGGGTTTCTTACGCTGACCTCTGGGAGGAATGGAGTAGCATTGTACTGATGTCGCATCATAGTCTGTGAGACAGGCGAGTAAGTCTTCTCCACAATCTTACCAATCTTTGTCACAGATTGGGCAATTTGCTGGGGAGATAGATACAGTACCGGTGCAAGTATTGATGGTTGAATGGGGTTCTGCAAGGATAGGGTTACCATATAGATCAGGTAGTTTTGCTAATGCTATAGCTTGGTTTTCGGATGTTACTGTGACGAGACGGGAGCGGTCGGGTCGGCTACGGAAAGAGACTTTGCCTACTTGTTTTTGGAGACATTGCTGGGAGAGAAGGGTGTTGTCAGAGTAGGGAGCTGTGGGAGGGATCACGAAAAATCGGTCCCATTTGGCTGCGCTAAATAGAGAAGTTCGGATTGTTGTAGAGATAGGGGTAGTAGAAGGGCGGGGGCGTGTCGAAGAGGGAGTAGTGTTGAGGGAGGTAGTGTTATGGAGAGGTGGGCAATAAGGCTGTAAGGTATTAATAAGAGAGGATGGGGTAGTTGATATAGAAGGTTGTGGAGGTAGAGGTGTTGAGCATGATGGGAGAGTAGGAATGTCTCTGGGGGGTTGAGTGTTGACTACTGTACTAGTAGGCATTGAGTAGGGGGTAGTTGTTGCAGTGTTCGGAGCCGTGGTCAAAGGAGAGTCTGGGGTCAGGGAATCGGGAGGATTTGAATTGCTGGGGCTATTTGATGAATGGGCAAGCCTCATTGTCCCTAATAGTGGGGTTAGGTTTTCATTATTGGCCATGGTAAGCCAGGAGTATGTTGGGGAGAGAAACAGTCCACCCCTCAGGGTCCCCTTGAGGGGTAAGGGCTAGGCCTAAGCAAGGGAATACCGTGCCCATGGCTCCCTCAGGCCGTTCAGGACTGGCACAAAGTCAGCCTTTCAGCACGGCTCTCACACCTTGGGAGGTGGATAGTAAAAGGGATTGGTGAAGGGACAGAAACGAAAAAGTAGGAAGGGAAAAAAGGGCTGAGTCCCAAGGTTGGGGAGTTCCCCATCATTGGGTCCCAGCCTCCGCCTCCAAAGCCCTCCCACGACAATAACGGACAAGGGATTGGGGGGATGTTTATCATATCTCTGGAAATTTCTTTATGCCGTTATCGTCAATTCTTAGTCTTATCTCTTCACTATGACTTCTTGCTCCTCTTTTGTCCTTTGAGCGCGACTATGCGTTTTCCTGTTTAACTTTTCTTTGATTTCTTTGCTTCACCGTTTTTGTAAAGTGGTGTGATGTTCGCCTTTGTTAACCTCCCGTTGCTGCTTAGAATACTAATAGTAATGGTAGACCAAGTTGTTCAGAGCATCCTCTAAGAATCTGGTTAGGAATACCATCTAGTCCCCACGCTTTTATTTTGTCTACTGCCCTTTTAGATCCTTTCTTTATCTGTGTATCTGCTTTACTTTTGATGTAATGTTAAGAAGCTATCGGTAACAGGACTTTTATTTCAAGGCATATTGATCAAAAACCGATTGGAATTCCTTACGTTTCTTATTCTTTCGTCTAAACAGTGTTCTTATCTTTTTTGACACTAGATTCGTCTTTCGCTTGGTTTTACTATTACTGTAGTTGAAGAAAAACTTCGATCCGAATATTTGTCATAAATTTTTCAAGCTGCAGTTAGGGTTCTTGCATTCACAATATGAATCAGGCGAATTACGAGTCATATTGTACATTTGTCTTTGATAAGCATGTCGACTTGATATCTGCCATACGCTTTAAGATTGACTTTAAAAAAAAATCACAGTACTATACAGTCCCTCTTCCATCTACCGATTACATGATTGCGCTTCATTTTTATCGGTCTTCTAAGCTAAAGATATTTTGAAGCATAATTATATAGTTTCAGTTCAACTTACATCCAACCAAATTTTGGTTTATGTAATCTAAATTTCTAGGGGAAAAAATGCTAGGACAACGATAAATCCAGAGAACCATAGTGTTGGCATTCATTAATTATGAATCCCATCCGTATATTCTGTGAATTGCACAGTAAGTTATATGGCAATCATGGATGATACGTAAATATTTCCCTCGTTATTTAATATAACTGCTAGTTATTGTTCTGTTCTTGATACAACTTGATGTTTAGAACTTAATGCATAGTGCCTCTTTATTAATAACATTTTTTTTTTACAGGATGAAGTGACCATATTAGAAAATACTCCTGAGGGTACGCAAGTAGGCCAAGCTGTAACGGCAACGGACGCAGATAAAGGCGCCAGCATCGACTTTTCCATTGACTCGGCAAAGACTAAAGCATATTTACAGAATAACGAAGTCAACCCTGCCACCGTGAATGGGTATGTAACAATGGCATATGTAGTCTAACCATCTCGTAAGACACGTACCTGTCCAAAGTGTCCGATAAGCTTAGACAGACAATTTTCCTTCTCTTAATAATAATAGTAATATCCCGCCTCCTGTTTTCAGGTGGTTCGTAATATCTAATAAAAATATTAAAGCAAACGACTACAGCGCCGTGGTGAGTGTTGGGAGTAGCGTGCCTGACCGTGAAAAAGCAGACAGAGTGGAATTGACCATTGTGGCCACAGATGTCAGCACTCAATCGGGCACTGGCTATACATCCAGTAAGTAGAAGACTGCCCCCTTAGTAACATGAACACTCACTCGGGTACTGACTATAAATCCAGTAAGTAGAAGACTGTCCCCTTAGTAACATGAGTGGATGTTGGAGAAAACCTGTCACGATTTTTCGTGTGACTTTTACCAGTCTCGAAATGACTAATGGTTCATACCTTGTATCTTTGTTCTTCACGTGATGTTGGCTTCTCGTAATGCCAAGTGATCTATGGGTCGTTATGCAAAACATTTAATATATAAAGACAAAGATGGGTAATTGAAAAAAATGGGGATATTTTACCTTTCCCCCCCTTTTTTAAGGTAATGGTAAAGGATAGTTAATTTTTCGTAAGTGAAAAATGAAACATGATATTATCGATAGTGGGTCGATGAAATATGTTCAAAACAGCTGATGTATAATAAAGAAAAAACTAATGTATAATAAAGAAAAACACGATGTATTTTAAAGAAAATTTTGATGTACAATGAAAATATTATTTATAAGAAAGAAAAACACTAATGTATAATAAAGAAAAAAATATGGTTCATAAAGTCATATTCTGTAAGGCATTGGCATAATGTTTGAATAAGGAAATTGAAAAGGTGAAGTACTATAAAGATGAGGATCCAGTATCTGCCGAGATCAGTGAGATTCCATTCACAGAACTGTACCAGTTTGACTGATATCTAATTGCCAGGCTTGTGTGTGGTCAATCCTACCTTGTCATTGTCACTTACATATACGGGAAATAAGTTATAAAAATACTTCATTACGATTTTTTATAGCAGAGACTGTTTCAGTGTAAACATGTTGGCGACCTTACCTATCCTATCGCGTCTGGCTAATAAAATTCTAATATAAGCATGAAGTGATTTTCGGCAATGCTCATCAAACCGACCGAATATTTAATAAAGACAATTGCCTCCGTTGTTCCCAGCACTAAAGCCTTTCCATTCTCTGCCAGCTGTTTTCACTATCAACATCAATAATACGAATGATGAGGCACCATACTTCACCAGTGACTACAGCAAACAGCAAGTGACGGAAGAGGTCCCTGAGGGAACGCTCATCGCCAAGCTCCTTGTCAATGACAACGATCTTGACGATACCATTGACATGAACATCAGGTGAGTCAAGGAACGCCGCGGGAAAAGTGATGCATCGTTTTTTAGATTGATTTTTAGATGCTATTTCCTTGACATAGGGTGGTGATTTCACTTTACGTTTTTTCTTTCATTCACTCTCGCATTGTCACAGGAATTTCTGTGATTATCATGCTTATTGATGAAAGGAGCAATTTGCTTCCGTATCGTTATCAGTCATGCTGTGGCATGTCAAGAGAGGGGCGAGGGGGTGATCTTCTTCTTCTCTTCATTTCACAGATTATATTTCGTCATTATCACGCAATATATATATATATATATGTGTGTGTATGTATATGTATATATATATATATATATATATATATATATATATATATATATATATGTATATATATGTATGTGTGTGTGTGTGTGTGTGTGTGTGTGTGTGTGTGCGTGTGTGTGCGTGTGTGTGTGCGTGTGCGTGTGCGTGTGCGTGTGTGTGTGTGTGTATGTATGTGTGTATATATACACATATATATATATTCATTACCAACATTTTCACCTGAACACTAAAAGCATTCGTA